TTTGTTAGAAGTTGGTTAGTAGGCTGTTAGAGAATTAGTTAGGAGCAGTTATTTTTAGCTATTGTATTATTGCTTGTACAGTGTACCATATATTGCAGTTTAACAGAGTAATAATAATACGAGGTATTATTTTAACAATATATACTGAAACAAAACTTGAAGCAAGTAAATGCCCGTCAGCAACACCTCCAAATGGAACCCAACTATCCCTTTTGTGGGGTCCCCGACCCTAAACTCATCAACCTGCCTGGCTTCCATCCAAGCATGCCCCCAAAGTCAATTCCTTGAACAATGCCCTTCTGCTGCTGTCCCCATTCATTCTCGAACAGGTTAAAGTAGGTAAACCAGTGGCCATTAATTGAAAAAACATATAATATCTGATCCAAAAGAAATCTAAATTTTAGAGTGGGAGATACCCATTAAATTCAATAATCTCCCATAATTTAATGTTATCAGATCTTTAGCTCAAAGTCCAGACTCCTTCCCCAATACACAAAGCCAATGGAAACTTGATGTCTTTGGATTCTCTTACTTCTCGTTTTTTTATGGATCATATACAAGATTGATGTCTTTGGATTCTCTTATATATACAAAATTTTCTTATTTTATTGACAACATACACATAACTTGCATATATAGCTATTTGAACTCGAGTTTTCTAAAAGAATAATATTCGATTAAAGGGAAAGTTATATTAAAAAATGGGGGAATAAACCACGCTTGACATTCATTTACATCAGCCTGTATATCACTATATGATTTTACATATATAAATAGAAAAGGGGTGGATCATGGGATCCATGTCCGAAGGTACTATACTCAAGCCGTCTTTGCCTTTTTCTTCCATGTTTTATTTGCTTAATTTTCTGCCACGTTTGTGACTTTACGTGCAGATGTATATAACATTTCTCAGGCTACGCATTGTATCCTTGTTTATTCGTATGGATTAGCTTGATAGTTTGTAAAAGAAACGTGATCCTATGGTGCATCATACAGAAATATTAAAGAGTGCCTTACTTGACAAAATCTAAGAAAGAAGAGAAAATATAACTAAACAAATTACAGATACATACTGACGAAAAATACGTCCCTAAAAACATTCGATACGACATATATATAATTATATCTATAGTGACGAAATTTGAGATTGCGTTGGTATACCTTATAGCTATAGCCACGGATTTTAAAAATCCGTCGAAATTGGCACAGGTTAATCACCCTATCCCTTCATAATGGTGGGGAATTTGATTTAATTTTCACCTCACTTTTAGCCCACTCTTCCTGTTTATAATCCCCCCCCCCCCCATATTCATCTCTTCACTTATTTGCTCTAACCTCATTGTTTTCTTCAATTAATTTCTTTAACGGTTCCTTCGTTTTTTATTATCAATTTCTAAATAATTTGGTATTCTGGTTTTGTCCTTTGACTGCTACTTGTTAAAGAACTTTTTTAAAGTGAAGATGAACAAAAGAGAGTTTTTTGAACAAATTTAATGTTTGTTCCATTAATAATCTTCTATTATTAAGATCATTGATTGAGAAGTTTGAGATTTAGGATATTAAAGACAAGAGATTGTACATTGTTGGGCAAAATACGAAATGTGTTGAATCATAGATGATGATAAATTAAGGGATAGCCATAAAATTTTATGTAAGGGGACGGATTAATATAATTTTAAATTACAAAAATATATTATCCATATAAAATAAAAATAAAAATATATGAAATATATGAAAATTTCAAAAAAATAATTAAAAATGATTGTCCATATCAACTCTATTCGATTTATTTATAATGACGATGATGATGATAATGAAGAAAAAGCGAAGGCAAACTTGTATCCAAATTTAAATTTTAGGCAGGAATAAAGGACGTTTGTGCCACCATTATTATAATTGCTTCAAACACAAACTATTGTCAAACTAACTTAGCCTAGTCATTCACAAAACTCCAATTCTAAAAAGACAATTCCAACTGTTATTGCTTTATGCCTCATGCAACCGTATGATTGTCACCATCCATAGCCATTGGTAGGGTACTAGTCGTCGTCGTGTAGATGTAGCAATGACGAATCTATTTATTTTAATAAAAAATTTGATAAAAAAAATATCCAAGGCTCTTGTACTTTTTAAAAAATAAATGTGATCTTTAAGTTTTTTTCCATCTAAATGTGACGTTCAAACTTTAAAAAGAATTAAATATGACCCTTTGACCAATGATTTTTGTATTTGACCATTAAGATATTAAAGTAGCATTTCACGATGTTGATGTAGCAACCTAGTGACATGGTTGATGAATTAATTTGATTTTTTTGATTGAGTTCGAGGGTCTAATTAATTATTTTTAAGTTCAATGGATTATTTGATTATTATAAAATAAAAACATTTAAAATTTAAAATATTATAATATTAAAAAAATATAAAAAAAATATAAATTAAATTGTTAATAATTTAAAAATATATATTATTTTTCACCTTAATTTTAATCTGATTTTTATTTATATTAAATATAAATTCACTCATCTTGCAAAAGTTTTATTTTATATATTTGCCTTTAATTATCGTAAATTCCAAATGTCTTTCTAATTATTTTTCACTAGATTTTTAAAATTGAATTAAGTAAATATTACAAAGTCTTTTTAAAAAAATAAACTTATGAAATTAACATTTATTTATACATTATCATGAAACTATTAATTAATATACCCGTCAATTTGTGTTAGATACAACTCAATAAAGTTAAGGTGGATATGGACTCCATGTGGTCGAGATTTTTGGTCAACCCCAATATTTATAATTTTTTTTAAAAAAAATCAAGGAATAAGAAATTAGTCTCTACAAAATAAAAATAAAATAAAACTCACATTAGAATTGACATAGACAAACCTAACAATATAATTATACTACTAAATGAAAACAAAACTCAAATTAAATTTTTTCTCTAAATTAAGTGAATCATTTAATAATGACTTTTTCAATTACTATGATTAATGTGTGTGTGTATATATATATATATTTAAAAAAATTAAATTAATTTTTATTTTTAATATTTTTTTATATTTATATATAAAAAATTTAAATTTAAAATATACTTTTAAAAAATAATAAGCCCCAAAACTTTTAAAAATCAATTTGACCGTCAAACTCAATAAAAAATCAATTTAGTCATCTACCAAATCATCAGTCATATCATCAATCACCGTGAATTGTCACGTCAGTATCGTAGACTGTCACATCAAAACTGTAAAATATCACGTCAGTATTGTAACGATTAATGACGAAAATAGTTGGTCAAAGAGTTACATTGAATTTTTTCCCCTAAGTTTAAGGGTCATATTGAGTATAAAAATAATTCAAGGACTACATTAATTTTTTAAGAAAGTACAAGAGTCCCATATACATTGTTACAAAAAAAAATGATATTCGTTTATTTAGAAAAATCAATTGTGATAAAAAGATTTTATGCCTGACATAATCATCTTAAGATATTTATAAATTATACATATAAAAGAGATTTTAATTTTGAATTGTGAAGAGACACACATTAATCTAATAAAATCTTGAGAGCTTCGTGGGATGTATAGACAATACTACTAGATTTAGACATCAGTATTTGATTTAATGAGTGAAATAATTTGAATTAGTTACATTTATGAGTATCATTCGAATTTTATTTAAATTATTAGTTGAATTTATAAAATTTAAATTGATATGATATTGATTGATTCTAATTTAAACAACTATCCTTAATAATATATATATATATATTCAAATCTTATGAATTTAAATTCGACACAAAATTGATATTCAAACTAAAATTTTAAGGTAATTTGAACAACTCAAAAATAAAAGTACTTTTTATATTAAATCACATTTTATTTTGATTGTTAGTTTTTACCTTTACTATTTTAAAAAATATTTAATTAATATTTTTAAAAATGATTATCACGGGCCTTGTGATAAGCAAGTGTAAGTTCCAATTTCAAAGGCCCTACAAACTAGCAATTTTGTTCAAGCATTGAAGCCAGTAGGGTTAAATCCTTTGAACCCAAAATTATACACTTCTCTAAGGCCACTTATTGAGTCACAAATTTACTAATCAATTCATTATATTTAAATTTGAGATTTACTCTTTTTATTTTACTTTTACATATTTTAATACATTCAATTTTTATAATATTAATAAATTTAAATTAATGACACCATCAATTATTGTTAAAATAATTACATACATTTTTACCATTGTTTGATCCTAAGTCAAAACAATGTGAACATTTAATTAATAATATTCAACTAATAATAAGATTACATGTTGTTTATAAGGGGTGTTAGTATTCCTATCAATTATGTAATAATTATTTAGTTTAATGTAATGATTAAGTGTTGCTAACTATAAATTTCAAGTTTGATATCTCTCGTGTTTATTTATATTGTCATTAGCTTTTACCGATTTGGTATTGTGTCATTATTTTATTAGAAGATTAAATTAATTAAATTAATTAAAATAAAAATAAAATAGTTTATAAATATTAATAATTAAATTTATTAAATTTTTCTTTACTTAGGGTCTAACTGACATCTTGTATAAATTTTAGATACTAAAATTATTATTATTATTTGGTTGCGAAAGGGAGCATTTAAGCTAAAAAATAGATGTCCCTTGTTCCAATATGTAATGGGATAAGGGAGAGGTAAAATAGTAGTCTGTCCCAACACTAGGTTGAGAACAGCTTCCGTAGAGACCTCTAAATTATGAAATGTCCTCCATGAAACTCGATCCCACGACCTCAATGTTAAGCTAAAATTCTAACTAATTAAATCTTGTCTATCTGTTCCTAATCTACTGACTATAGTTACTGACAGTTGCGCGAAAGTATATATTCTGAAGGTTAAAATTATTCACCTTATATTATCCTATCATTATTTCAAACTTTTTAACAACTAATGGTTAAAATAAAAAAAATATAATGAGATAATTAATTTTATAGTTTACCCTAATATTAAAATAAAACGGGGCGTTAAATTAAAATTGAGATATCAAAACATGAACCTACAAGCAGAATTAAATCTAAAATTACATAAGAGAACATCGAGGGCCCAGTATTAACATTGACCAATGATCAGCATATGAATTCATACGGGACCGTAGGAAATTTTGACCACTTCAATTTCTACTACGTCTTCGTTAAATTACTACAACGACAACGAAAGGTTAAGGTCTAAACCACCACCTTCTCCGCCAGCGTCCTTGCTTTCTTTTTCCGATCCATGTTTTGTTTTCGAGGAAGGGCCTGCATCATTCAACACCAAAGGATTCTTAGACCCGGAAAGGGAATCCTCCACGAAATCTTCCGGTCGGAACGTCGGATTCCACTGGCCGTTGCCACCAGCAGCAGCAGCCACCTTGTCTTCCTCTTTCGATCCATTCGGCACCACCACCACTTTCCTTAGACAATCACGCACCTCCCTTGTGCTTCTTATCAAAGCAAAGAACTTCTCCACTTTCTCTTCTTCGTCACCTTCATCGTCCTTTTCTTCTTCATTCCCCATTTTTCTCTTCCTTCTTCCACTCTCCTCCATGGCTACTCTACCTAATGTGTATTCTTTAGAGCATGAAGAAAAAAACTATATAATCAATTAAACTATAAAAATGTTACAGACAGAGGAAAGTGAGAGGAAATGGGGTTTTCGTTGCCGGTGAGATGAAGTAAAAACCGTGTTAGTTGACTGATTTTATAGTGTCATCACCATGATTTTTATCGAAAAAGTGTCTGATTGAAGGGTCGGTAGTGACAATAATGCCCCTGTGATTCTCTGCAAAGAAAGGAGATGAGCAATAAATAAAAGGACGGGCAAAATGGGATATTGAGTTAATATATTTTGGGTGGGGGGGGGACCAAGAGTATATTGTTTACGTCAATGGGGAGATCATGTTGCTAACAACTCCTATCTGACGCGTCCATTATGACATTGGAAACACAGGCTCTTTCCGGCGGCTTTTTTCACCAATGGGAATCCTTTAGGTCATCAAGGGCCGAGCCGGGGGTCCATCACCTCGTCTCACCTACTTCTTCATGAGATATCAAAGTAAAACGATTCGAATTTTTTAATCAATTTTTTTTTTAATTTGAGTAGAGTTTTACGTCCCAACTTGATAGCTACGAATAACAAGTTATGGTTAATTTCTCCATCCAAAATCAGCAAGCATAACTCTCCCTTTCTGCCTTCATCTTGACCACACATACTTAAACTATTACTTTTATTATATTTTGGTATATAAATTAACAAAATTGTTAACTTGATATTCTTTTTAAAAAAATTCAATGATGACGTTTCATTATTTTTAGTGATATATTAATATTATCGTTAAATTTTTAATTGTGTGATATCAAAATGAAACCTAAACATTAGATATGATTTTAAAAAAAATAAAATTTGAGTATAAAAAACGAAACAAAAATAATAATTTAGATATTATAATTTACCCTTTATTTAAAGTGAATGCAGATCTTAGTTCAAGTGAGGATGTTTACCTAAGTTCAAGTGAGGATGAAAACATCCGATTTTTCTTCAATAATTACCTACTTTATTGAATTTATTAATCTCATACAAAAACTTTATATATATATATATATATATATATACCACTGTTTAAAGCATTGAAGTGTATGCTATTGTTTTACAAGCTCATTTTTATAATCATAACATAATTAAATCTCTCAAATTAATCAAATGGAAATCAAGTCTTTTCAAGTAGGGGTGTGCAAAATTACCCGACTCGGTTGACCCGAACCGTCGGCCCGCTGACCCGGATAAAAAAAAAACTGGGTAATTTTATGAAAAAAATACCCGTGTTGGGATTTTCGAAAGCTCAAATTGACAACCGGAACGGTTTGCAAAGAGGGGTCGGAACGGTTTTGTGTTTATGGAGTAAGGAGATTGAAAGATAGAGAATTGCACAACGATATATAGTGGTTCGACTTTCTCAACCAAAGTCTACGTTCACTACCTTAGCTCCTCACCAAGGATTTTCCAACAAATTCACTAATTTGTTCTTTCTTTTTATGATAAAGAGTAACCTTACAAACTCCCTAGTTTTTCCGGGCTAAACTATAACATTTCCCTAGCTTTTACACGAGATTAGCTAGAATCTTTTCCCTTTACAAAAGGATAAGAAATGTAAAAAAGAAAACCTCTCTAAGGTAGGTGTTTACAAGATTGAGCTCACAAGAACAAAATATATACAAGAGAAAGATGAAATAAGAATGAAAAACTCTTCTCTTGTGTTTGATTGCTTATATAGTTGTTCTATTGCTTGGATAGTTGTTCTATTGCTTCTTCAAGTGTCCTTAGCTTGTATTTATAGCTTGGAATGTGTTTGAAGTCGTATATAGTCGTTGGGGGATGTTTTGGAGCCGTTTGGGGATGAGAAACAATTAATAAAACAGTTTGGAGCGTGGGGGGAATCGGTACCCCCTCATGGGGAATCGGTTCCCTAATTGCAATATGTTTTTGACCGTTAGACAGGGGGAATCGGTACCCCCTGGACAATCTGATTTTTTTTAAACCCTTTAAAAAGAAAATATTTTTGGCTCGATTAAGGCTCGAAATACTTTGTAAAATTGTTTTAAAATAGTTTAAGTATAAAACACAATTTTACACTTTAGTAAGGATTAAAATGAACTTTGAAAGACTTGGAGTAATATTTTGATATTCGAATAATTACATCGAATATACTTAGAAAATCTTTGTAAAATCTTAAAATTCATTTAACTTAATTTGTTATATCAAAACATCAAAATATTTTCAACAATCTCCCCCTTTTTGATATAACAAAACTTTTGAGTAATTTTAAGATTTTGAAATCAAGTTTGAAATTACTCCCCTTTACTTTAATACTTCTCTACTTTAACACCTTAACACTTCTCCCCCTTTTTGTTAAATCAAAAAGACTCTAATCTTTGAAGTTCAAAATAACTTTGGAGAGTAAGTAGTAAATTTGACATTTTAAAAATCATTTGAAAAATCAAAGCTCCCCCTCAATAAATGCATTCCAAATAAAATTTAGCTTTAAGAACAAGGCACTTAAACAAAATTGAATTTCAACAAAGAATAACAAACATGTTAGTAGCACATGAAATTCAATATATCCAAGACTAAAATACTTTATGCAATACTAATTGTTGAAATTTGATATCAATACCAATTGTTAAAATTAAGTGCATATGCATAAAGTTTTCCAAAAATGTTATGCATTTGAAAATTTTGATATCAATTGTTAGAGAGATATCATTTTCATTTAAACCACATGCATAAATATTCAAATTTAGGTAAAAAAAATTTAAAATTTGTAAAATCAAAGTATTTGAAAAGTTGATATCAATTGTTAGAGAGATATCATTTGCATTAAAACAAATTTTGACCAAAACTTTATTATGATGAACTAAAAATTCTGAAAAATCATTACAACTTTAAAATGTTCATCATAATCATCTTTTCAACATACATGAGATATTAAAACAATGATGCATAATCATTTAAAACCAAAACTCATACATGCTTAAAATCAAATGAGCAACCAAATAATCCAAAATTAAAAGTATTAAGCTTAGAGGTTACCCATTCATTTTTCATGTGTGGCTAGAGCATCTTGAATATCATCATTTTCATCACAATTGCTTCCACACACCTACAAGAGACATTTAAGTAGATTTTGGTATCCAAATTGCTTTGGATCCTTGAACGTTAGTTACAATGCCCCTTGTTCCTTTTGGAACCCATACTTGCCTAATTTTAAAACGTTTTTCTTTCTTCAAAGGACGAGTATGTTCCATATGACCATGATAATGGCAATGTGAGCGTTTTGCCATATTTAAACATAATAGGTTGATTTTAGAAATTAATTCTTTTTCTTTTATTAAGCTTTCAAACTTAACACCTAACTCAAAATTTTCTTTTTCTAAATCATTTATTTTGATTTTTGAAAACTCTAAATTATTTTTCAAAATTTCATTTTGATTTTCAAAATCAATTTTTGCTTTCAAAATCAAATTATCTTTATTTTTGAGTTTTGAAATTAATTTCGTATATTTGGAATTCATGGTCTCAAATCCCAAATACAACCTATTATAAGCATCTTGTAACTCATCAAAAGTAAATGAATTAAATGAATTAAATTCATTTGAGTTAGAAGATACCTCGAATTCTTCTTGAGTGGTCATGAGGCATAGGTTGACTACTTCATCTTCATCATTGTCTTCATCCACCTCATCACTTGAATCTTGATAGTTTTCATTGATGCCTACATCCTCATTCTTCTTCTTCTTCTTGTTTTCTTCTCTTCCCTTTCTTCATCTTCCTTCACCATCATCTCATGAGTGAGAAATGGACCAATTAGCTCGTCGAGAGTGAGAGGCTTTAGGTTTCTTGCTTCGATAATGGCCGTCTTCTTTGATTGCCACTCCTTTGGAAGAGAGTAATTCATCTTGCTCACAAGCTTCTCATTTGGGATTACTTCTCCATATCCCTTGAGACCGTTGACAATCACGGAAAATCTATCCGTCATAGCTTTGATGTCTTCATCGGGTTTCATCTTGAAGTTCTCGTAGCTATGGTTGAGAAGACTTTTCTTTGATTCCCTCACTTCGTCGGTTCCTTCATGAGTGACTTGGAGCTTATCCCAAATCTCTTTGGCACTGGAACAAGATGAGACTCTTCCATATTCATTTAGGCCTAAAGCACAAAATAGAATATGTATAGCCTTAGAATTAAGATGAAAATTTTTCTGCTCTTCTCTACTCCAATCGTTGTACTTGCCGAGTGGAGAGGAGTAACCGTCCATGATTGAGTACCAAGCTCCTAGATTGTATGATTGAATGAAGTACATCATCTTATTCTTACAATGTGCATAATTTGCTCCATTGAAGAAGGGTGGCTTGTTGACCGGTTGTTAATCCATAATAGGATATTCTTCAAGATAATAAGCACCAGAGGAAAAAGTCATTTCTTTGTAGGTTGCGTCGGGAATTGGTAGAGCTTCTTCTAAGATCGTCTCAAGGTGGTTAAACCTTCTTAACGAGTTAGGCTCTAATGCCAATTGTTGTGATTTTCAGAAGCTCAAATCGACAACCGGAACGGTTTGCAAAGAGGGGTCGGAACGGTTTTGTGTTTAGGGAGTAAGGAGATTGAAAGATAGAGAATTGCACAACGATTTATAGTGGTTCGACTTTCTCAACCAAAGTCTACGTCTACTACCTTAGCTCCTCACCAAGGATTTTCCAACAAATTCACTAATTTGTTCTTTCTTTTTATGATAAAGAGTAACCTTACAAACTCCCTAGTTTTTCCGGGCTAAACTAGAACCTTTCCCTAGCTTTTACACGGGATTAGCTAGAATCTTTCCCCTTTACAAAAGGATAAGAAATGTAAAAGAGAAAACCTCTCTAAAGTAGGTGTTTATAAGATTGAGCTCACAAGAACAAAATATATACAAGAGAAAGATGAAATAAGAATGAAAAACTCTTCTCTTGTGTTTGATTGTTTGGATAGTTGTTCTATTGCTTCTTCAAGTGTCCTTAGCTTGTATTTATAGCTTGGAATGTGTTTGAAGTCGTATATAGTTGTTGGGGATGTTTTGGAGCCGTTTGGGGATGAGAAACAATTAATAAAACAGCTTGGAGCGTGAGAGAATCGGTACCCCCTCATGGGGAATCGGCTCTCTAATTGCAATCTATTTTTGACCGTTAGACAGGGGGAATCGGTACCCCTGGGGGGAATCTGTTCCTCTGGGGGAGAATCTATACCCCCTGGACAATCTGACCCCTGGACAATATGATTTTTCTTGAAACCCTTTAAAAAGAAAATATTTTTGGCTCGATTAAGGCTCGAAATACTTTGTAAAATTGTTTTAAAATAGTTTAAGTATAAAACACAATTTTACACTTTAGTAAGGATTAAAATGAACTTTGAAAGACTTGGAGTAATATTTTGATATTCAAATAATTACATCGAATATACTTAGAAAATCTTTTTTAAAATCTTAAAATTCATTTAAATTAATTTGTTATATCGAAACATCAAAATGTTTTCAACAACCCGGCCAGGTCGGATACCCGACCCGACACTTTCCGGGTCGGGCCCGGGTCACAAAAAATTGATTTTTCCGGGTACCCGGTTACCCGAGTACCTGGTTAAGCTTTTTTTTACATCTATCTTTGCCATTCGTTCACCTACTTCTGATCATTATAATACCTTTACCTCTCTAGTATTTCTCTGTATTCTGTAAATAGCCGTTGCTTTATTTTGTATAAATTTGTTGCTTATGGAGTTCCGATGTACGATGGAAGGAGGTAAACTAAAAGGTCACCCCTTGAAATTCTGGGGTTAAGAATTCCATTCAATAATGAAATATTCTAATGTAAAGTTAACTTTGTTGGCATTACTGCTTGTGACTTTCTTCACATACAAGATTGCAACTTTCTTTCAAGCTATAGATGATGCAGTTACTGTTGTTGGGGAAAAACAAAGGTCTAATATTAAAAAAACGGTTGAAGTATCGCTCTTAGTATTCTTTATCATTGTTCACTGGAAAATGCTTTGGAGAAGATGACTATAATGCTTATTCTTGTACAATTTCTGTAAAGTGCTGTTCTTTTCCATTCATTTGTGATTTCTTCTTGTTCATATATCTCGAGTACCTCAAAACGGCGCATATCGGTGTGAACCTTGTGGGTACGTTCTGGATTTTAAATGCGTTGGACTGCCGTACGACAAGCATGATCTAACTTATCACAAAAATGTTGTGAATCTCATGTATTTTCTGTAAATGTACAAGTATAAATTATTTATCTATAAAAAAAATTGATGGTATTCGGGTACCCGCAAAATCCGGGTATCCAAAACATCCGGGTCGGGATACGGACCGAGAAATCACCGACCTGGCGGGTACCCGGATTTGCACTCCCCTATTTTCAAGTCCACTCATATATTAAACTTTTTCAAATTGATAAAACAATAACCAATCCTTTCCGAACCATTTCAAATTAAAATTAAAATTTATTTTAATTATATTATATTTCTTTAATATAAACTAATCTATAAATAGATTAAATATCATAATTAAATAGTAAAATTATATTTGAACTTGAGTAATTTTAGGTTCATGTGGATCAAATTTTACCAGAAATAATCAAATCAAAATGAAACTGAATACAGAATAAAATATATAATGACAAATTTAAAGAAAAATTATATTATTAAAAAAGAATAATCATAAAATCTGAAATATGCAATTTTCCAGAATGAAATTAAGAATATATACTATGCACCTTAGAATTTAAAAAAAAATATTATTCAAAAATACATTTTCAATAAGAAAAGAAACATGTGATATTTAGATATAAATATAATATGATAATACAATTACTGTTGTTATTTAATCTCTATTTAAATCAAGTTGGAATCTCTAAATCATGAGCTTAACCCTTTTATTTAAAGCAACTTTATTAGATAAAACTGGTGGTTGAGTCATTTCGTTTTTATTCTCTTGCCTTATTCGTCAACATTACCGGCTTGCAATTACTTCTTTCTTCTTTTTTCGCCAATTTTTTTTCATGTGACATGTTGTATTTTATGACCTTTGCTTTCCAGGTAGAGTTCTGAGTTCTCTTTTTCTTTTTTCTTTCCATGTCTTTGCCAATCTGGGTATTTCAGCAATTTTCTATCTTGGCTTGGTTTTAAGCACCGTTTGGTCTTATGTTGGATTATTAATTGTATAATTTCATATTAAATTTATTGGTCTTAGATTGGATTATCTGATTTTTCAGATTGTCAATCGATGGTTTTTGGAGCAGATTGTTGTCTTTTGCTTACTCGGTTTTTAGTTTTTAACCTCACCCCCTCAGCTTGTTCCTTTCTGCATATTCATGTTTTTTTTTGTTTTGTTAAATTCTCCTCTTGTATCTAGGCGCTTTCTAGGCTTTAATTTTTTTTGGGGTTTTAAAGCTTTTATTGATTTATACATAAATTAGTTAAGTATAATCACTTGGAACACAATAAAAAATTAATTTTCCATCATAATTTTAGTGTTGACATGCATGGTCAGGGGGCGGAATTGATGTACTAGAATTTTGAAGCTGAATTCATTTCACTGCTACCACTTTTGATCCTTGTTAATTACATCTTGATCGGTATTGAGAGTTACATATGCTCTGTAAACGGTTGGGGGAGTGAGATATAAATTTGTTAACAATGAAAGTTCTCAATTTTGAAATTGGGAAGAGGTCCCAGTTTCATGTTTTATCAATCTTATGTGTACCTGGTTGTGTAAAATATGATCTGCTGCTTAATGTAGGTACTTAGATAAATAAATCAAATTTCATGCCATAGTAAATTGTCACTATCATCCAAAAAAAAGTCGATTGATGGGGTCCGAAGGGCCGGCGGCAGTTACCATCCATGTGACTGGTTTTAAGAAATTTCATGGAGTTTCAGAGAATCCAACTGAAACAATTGTTAGTAATTTAAAGGAGTACACAGAAAAGAAAGGGTTGCCAAAAGGTGTAATTCTCGGCAGCTGTAGTGTTCTCGAGACTGCAGGACAGGGAGCACTCACTCAACTATACCAGACATTGCGATCTGCCTTAAGCGGGAAGGATTCTAGATCTCCTTGTTCTGGGAGAATTGTTTGGGTTAGTTACTCACTTTCAATTGTCTAGTAATTGCTTGACAAAATTCGAGCTTCGCATTTCTTGGTTACTGTTACAAACTTCTTCAGCTACATTTTGGAGTCAATAGTGGTGCAAGTAGATTTGCTATTGAGCGTCAAGCTGCAAACGAAGCTACTTTCCGTTGCCCTGATGAGATGGGATGGAAACCTCAGGTCAGATATATCTCTTTCCCACTTCTATGGTGCATGTGCAATTTGGCATGCCTCTTTCTTCTCAAACTTTCTTCCTTTTCTTAATACTCTGTTTTGATTGCAGAAAGTACCAATAGTTCCTGCAGATGGTGGAATTTCACGTGTACGAGAGGTAGTATTGATATCGATAAAGTAATCCTTTTTTGTTTAGAATGGTTAAAGTTAAACCTGATGATAATATTCATCTCTTACCCCCATCCTTGAATATTTTCCTTTGTTACCTCTGTGCAGACTTCTCTTCCTGTTGAGGAGATTACAAAGGCCTTAGCAAAGAAGGGATTTGACGTGATGACCTCTGATGACGCAGGGCGGTTTGTGTGCAATTATGTTTACTATCACTCCCTTCGGTTCGCTGAGCAGAGTGGAGTCAAATCTCTCTTTGTGCACGTCCCTCTCTTCTTGACCATAGACGAGGATACCCAAATGAAATTCGCTGCTTCCTTGTTGGAGGTACTTGCTTCTCTTTGTCAGTAACATCCTGCATCCACTCGTCTTTATGTCCAGGAATTGATACAGTTGTGTGGTTGTATGTAAGGGTGGATAGAAGGATGCATGTTTATTGAAAGGCTTTTAATAAAAGGATAAGTGTATGAGAATGAATAAAAAACGTGTTTCAGCACATACACCACGCCATATGTATTTCTTTCGTTTCTTTCGTTCCTCTAAATACTTTATCTGGTGCTTGGTAATTTCTCATAATCCTTATGTTAATATGTCAATAAATTCCTGTTTGCTTCTATTACCAGAAACATTTGCTTATTCTTCCGAGTATATCTTCTTGCACTTTTTCTTAGCCCTAATTGTTGATGTAGTGCAGAAACTAAAATAAATTAGGACTGAACTATAACGTTCAGGGGAGTTTCTGCATTACTTTACTTTCACTAACTCATTTACACCTTAACCCTTGATGCTTCAGTGCGTTTCGTGCTAGACGATTATCTTGTGTTCATTAGGAAGTTGCATGCCAGCTTAGTTTAATGTCTTTTCATGCTGTGTTGGCTGGAGGGCTTATCATCTTCTATAATGGTGGGTTATTTTGTGTTTTCAAAGTAATGTTACACCTCTTTCAGGGAATGTGATTAAGGGATGGGTTATGGGATATCTTCAGTTCCATTTTTGGTGTGATTTGGTATGGGTTTAATCTGTGATTATGAAGCATAGTTTGAAATCCCATAAAAATATAGAACTTTCTGGCTAGCAGTGGATTGAATTTCATACAACTTAAGAATCCATCATTCTTTTTTCTTTGATCTATTCCTTGGGTATTTGATACAGTTGATTAGTCTTATATACTTTACATAATCTGATTCAATAACTATCCACATAAATGTGTGTTATCAATAGTGGCGTTAGTTTCCTCCATCAAGCAATGAACCGGTGGAATAGTGTGTTAGGACAGTTCCATAAGCATTTCAGCAAAAGGGAATCGTTACGATGTGTCCTCGGGTGGTCGGCAGCAGCTCGACTTGTGCCAATGTAAGGTTTATGCATGGAGTCAAGTTGCCACAAGCAAAACTCATCGGTGGACTTCTAACATCATATGAACACGTAATATTTCATATAGATGTCATTAATCACAACTGCACTTGTCTGGTTACTGCAGTTTTTGGTGACGCAATAGTATTGGTATATGATAATCGAACAACACCTCCATGCTGATGTTACGGAATTCGACTTTGGCCACACAGCCCGAGCTGCCTTGTCAGGTTTTAATGTGGAAACTGTTGTCGGAATTCTGTATGACTGAATCCAAAATGCTGATGTCAGAAACGCATGCTCCTGAATGATTGACCCCGAGACTACCGGTGCTACAAATAAGAAATATAAAAGATGTTAGCCTAACCTAGAAAATTCCAAATACAACATGTTGCACATATAGCAATGTAACTTGAAAATGATGTGAACGAAAACAGACATAAGCAGCCTCCTTCAGCAGACCTAAGATGTTTGATATATTAAGAAAATGGCAACACCATAGCACCCGGCTCCAATTGATACACACTCGTCGCCTAAAGGATCATCAATGCAGTGGATACATGGAAATTATTTCAAAGTCTTCTAGGCTCTCGATTTTTATTAAATACATGCTCAAGATGTAATAAAACTACAAAGAAAATTCACCGTTTGATATGAAGGAATTATATGCACATTATTTGTGTTGTCGATGTGAATTCCATCTGTGTTGGGACTTTGGGCCGCTGCTTTGCTAGTCAGTCATTCTACACGGATGCCACTGCCGGGGTTGAATTTGAAATGGAACTGCAGAATGTTCATTTTAAGGCCACCACCTTGCATTAACATACCATTGATTCTGTCATTTAACTAAGTTATTTAACTATCACTTATTTTACCTTCAAGACTTTGGAGTTTGAACCGGAGAGCCTTAACATCCTGGGAGATGAGGCTTGTAAATTACGCAGTCCGGAATCAACCTACCACATTTATAAACATCACAAAATGGTTAAACCATAGGTGAAGTTAAAACAACTAAAAGAATCTCATTTTTGTTATTCAAATAAAATATTACATGGCAGCAAAACTAACCATAAAGCCAAAATAAATCATTCCGAAGGTGGATCTCTTACTTGAACAACTACACCGTAGCGGGTGCGCCAAATTTGTAAATCCAGCCCCATAAATTTGAAACTTGGTAGAGGAAAAATTCAATAGAGGAACATAAAAAGACGAAATAATAAAAATTTTACTCCCATTGAACTGATGCCAGGAATTAACAACCAAAACCTTCCCTCCATACAAGCCTACTGCCTAACTGCTTAAGACAAAGGAACAGAATCCATAAGATGACAATTCAGAATTCAGAGCTATGTTAGAAAACAACATTCTTCTAAAGCACTAGCTGCTACTAGAATCAAGTCTAAACATTTTGGAAAATGAACTGGCGAAGTAATTAAAAGGAATACTATCACATCTATCGGAGCTTGGCACGTTTGGGAATAGCACTACTAGGAGGAGCTCAAGATTTCCCAAAGGCCTTCATTTTCTTTCTCCTCCTATCCTCACTATCTGATTCATTCCCTTTCTCCCTGTCTGCATTGCTTGCTTCCCTCTCCAACCCCTCCCATGTTTTCCCCTTCTCTTCTTCTGAGTCTCCTCTGAATCTTCTTCCTCTTCATCCTCAGATTCAACCAGTGATGCACTATCAGAGTCATCATCCTCTGACTCAGATTCAGGCTCCATATCAGATGGCTCATAACCCGGATCAGACTCCACTTCATCCTCAGAATCTGAATCACTAGCTTCCAAGTTCAAAAATTCCCAACCCCCATTTTCAATGAAGCTCTGGGGATCATCAGTAACTGTCTTCAGAATCTGCCGCCACATTCTTCTAAAGCACTAGCTGCTACTAGAATCAAGTCTAAACATTTTGGAAAATGAACTGGCAAAGTAATTAAAAGGAATACTATCACATCTATCGGAGCTTGGAAGGTTTGGGAATAGCACTACTAGGAGGAGCTCGAGATTTCCCAAAGGCCTTCATTTTCTTTCTCCTCCTATCCTCCTCACTATCTGATTCATTCCCTTTCTCCCTGTCTGCATTGCTTGCTTCCCTCTCCAACCCCTCCCATGTTTTCCCCTTCTCTTCTTCTGAGTCTCCTCAGAATCTTATTCCTCTTCATCCTCAGATTCAACCAGTGATGCACTATCAGAGTCATCATCCTCTGACTCAGATTCAGGCTCCATATCAGATGGCTCATAACCCTGATCAGACTCCTCTTCATCCTCAGAATCTGAATCACTAGCTTCCAAGTTCAAAAATTCCCAACCCCCATTTTCAATGAAGCTCTGGGGATCATCAATAATTGTCTTCAGAATCTGCCGCCACATTCTTCTAAAGCACTAGCTGCTACTAGAATCAAGTCTAAACATTTTGGAAAATGAACTGGCAAAGTAATTAAAAGGAATACTATCAAATCTATCGGAGCTTGGAAGGTTTGGGAATAGCACTACTAGGAGGAGCTCGAGATTTCCCAAAGGCCTTCATTTTCTTTCTCCTCCTATCCTCCTCACTATCTGATTCATTCCCTTTCTCCCTGTCTGCATTGCTTGCTTCCCTCTCCAACCCCTCCCATGTTTTCCCCTTCTCTTCTTCTGTGTCTCCTCAGAATCTTATTCCTCTTCATCCTCAGATTCAACCAGTGATGCACTATCAGAGTCATCATCCTCTGACTCAGATTCAGGCTCCATATCAGATAGCTCATAACCCTGATCAGACTACTCTTCATCCTCAGAATCTGAATCACTAGCTTCCAAGTTCAAAAATTCCCAACCCCCATTTTCAATGAAGCTCTGGGGATCATCAGTAACTGTCTTCAGAATCTGCCGCCACATTCTTCTAAAGCACTAGCTGCCACTAGAATCAAGTCTAAACATTTTGGAAAATGAACTGGCAAAGTAATTAAAAGGAATACTATCAAATCTATCGGAGCTTGGAAGGTTTGGGAATAGCACTACTAGGAGGAGCTCGAGATTTCCTCAAGGCCTTCATTTTCTTTCTCCTCCTATCCTCCTCACTATCTGATTCCTTTCTCCCTGTCTGCATTGCTTGCTTCCCTCTCCACCTCCCATGTTTTCCCCTTCTCTTCTTCTGAGTCTCCTCAGAATCTTATTCCTCTTCATCCTCAGATTCAACCAGTGATGCACTATCAGGGTCATCATCCTCTGACTCAGATTCAGGCTCCATATCAGATGGCTCATAACCCTGATCAGACTCCTCTTCATCCTCAGAATCTGAATCACTAGCTTCCAAGTTCAAAAATTCCCAACCCCCATTTTCAATAAAGCTCTGGGGATCATCAGTAATTGTCTTCAGAATCTGCAGCCACATTCTTCTAAAGAACTAGCTGCTACTAGAATCAAGTCTAAACATTTTGGAAAATGAACTGGCAAAGTAATTAAAAGGAATACTATCACATCTATCGGAGCTTAGAAGGTTTGGGAATAGCACTACTAGGAGGAGCTCGAGATTTCCCAAAGGCCTTCATTTTCTTTCTCCTCCTATCCTCCTCACTATCTGATTCATTCCCTTTCTCCCTGTCTGCATTGCTTGCTTCCCTCTCCAACCCCTCCCATGTTTTCCCCTTCTCTTCTTCTGAGTCTTCCTCAGAATCTTCTTCCTCTTCATCCTCAGATTCAACCAGTGATGCACTATCAGAGTCATCATCCTCTGACTCAGATTCAAGCTCCATATCAGATGGCTCATAACCCTGATCAGACTAATCTTCATCCTCAGAATCTGAATCACTAGCTTCCAAGTTCAAAAATTCCCAACCCCCATTTTCAATGAAGCTCTGGGGGATCATCAGTAATTGTCTTCAGAATCTGCCGCCAGTTCAGATTCAGCCTGCTCTCATAATACTTGAGGTCTGTCGTGTCAAGCCATTCCTTGATGCCATCGAGCGAGGTTGAAGGGATGGAATCAATCCTGAGCACATCTTGCTTGAAGTCCTTAAACGCAATTGTCATATCAAAATTCTTTTGTCCAAGTTCACAATCTCAATATCAAGGTGACCACAAGGAAAGGATTCTCTATCAGCTCAACCAGACAGCTAGAAGTTGGCACAATAAAAGCCGAGGCTTTGTAAGGGACCCCATGGAAGCCAAGTTCTCTAAGTGGCTGATCAAACTCAATATCGAGACCATTAAACTGAGGCTGCCGCAGAGATCATTCACCCGATTCACAAAATTCTGAAAATCCATATTGATCTTATTCTGTCTATCCCTCTCCCTTTGCTCTTCTTCAATCACATCTGGATCATAAGCAGACCTCTTTGCCCCTCCCAATGTCTGTACTACATCCATAACCTCAACATAAAATTGCACATCCTTGGTTTTTTTATTTCCCACCATTATGTGATTGTGCAGATGAAAATGAAGGAGAGTGATCATTTCTTTCTCTGCAGGCTGGAAGAATGCATGCTTTATGTTCCCATACATAACATCAACATGCTCGTCAGCTCTAGTAGTAGAATATCAAAAACCATTAACATGAGCTTCAAGTGCTCCTGGTATCTTTCTCCCACAACCACCAAAAACAGGATGAATTCAGAGATCGGGTAGCCTTGGGCTTGAACCTGTTTCCTGCAAGTTGGAGTTTCTCTTGAGTAACCAAGGTTGCCCTCTCAGCTTTTTCAGACTCCCTGGCAACAACATGCCGGCAAAGTGTTTTAATCTGCTGTACCACTTCACTTATGTGCCTTGGATCCTTGGAACGGAATGAGACTTCTTTTAAATATATTGCTCCTTGATTCTTTAAAGAGTTTGAATCATGGGAACTAAAAGGAGTCCCTGGAACATTAAATACAATCCGGATAAAGCAATTTCGATTTGTATCTTGCTGGCTTGAATCTGTTCTAGTAGTAGCCACATGGAAAGGAACCATGCTACCATATATTGGCAAGAGCACAGCCTCATTCTTCTGGTCAATTTGAATCATAAAATCTCTTGGAGGGGGCAGGTCATTGACATTCTTATAGGCAATCAAATCAGCTGAAGTCTTTGCAGCTTCTCTATTGTCTCCAGTCCCAGGTCCACCTGCAAGTCGTCTAGCTGTTTCTCCATTCTTCTGACAAGCAAGTTCAGCTTGGTGCTGCCTCCTTTACTCCTCCTTAGAGATGTCATGATTATCTGACCTGAGCACTGTCTTAGCCATGAAGGGGTCATAACTATTAGTTTCAGCCTTGACATTCTCCTTTACTCCTCCTTAGAGATGTCATGATTATCTGACCTGAGCACTGTCTTAGCCATGAAGGGGTCATAACTATTAGTTTCATCCTCATTCAATGAATAAGCTACATCCTTGACAGCCTTGGAACTCTTTCCGGTGACAACTTCTGTATTTTGCTCACCAACAATAACTGTATCAGCAAGTAGCAGAGAAAATTTTCTGTTTTTCGGAGTTTTACTATCACACTGCAAGTTCTGGAAACCAAGTGACACATTGAAAACCATCCCAACTTTCACCATGCGCTCATTCTTCGCGTTGAGATTAAGCCCCGACTCACGAAACTCAAGACCAATTCCAGTACCAGCAGATTTTGTTAGATTTGGGACCAAATCAGGAGCTTCCTTCTCAACAACTGAAACTGCAGCTTGACATGCAGCACTGATTCTGTTCCCAGGTTTCAACATACTGATTGCAGCTTCATGAGCCTTAAGAAGAACCTCATATGCCTTGCTCTGAAGTGGAGCGGCGTCAATAAAAAATGTCCTGGTAACATTTGAGCAATAACCGTTATAGTGAGTTCCAAGCGCACACAAGATAACACTAGCAGAATCATAGTACAGATTCTCTTCATTGCTTGCGGCACTAGGTCTGAGATCAAACTCACCCCCACTTTGAAATATTGGAGGATAACAAATATCAACATTCTCTGGCTTGAGCTTCACTTTAGCTAGCTGAGGATTCACAATGGCTTTCTCTGTTTCATCCATCAAGGTAGCATGAGTGATTTTTTTCTCCTCATCAATAACAGTCTCAAGCCTTGGAACCACAATATTGTTCATCACATTATAACTTAAATAAGCAGCTTTCTTCACATTCATATGCTCTTCTTTGTCCTTCAAAGCAAACAGATCAGATAGCCCATTTGTTACATCAGCAAGCTGAAAGTTAGCACTTTTTAGTTTTTCATCCCATGTTTCTAAAAGCTTTCCTTCAGGAGCCTCTCGAGCTATGTAACCAAATAGAGGAGCATCTTCAGAATCCTTGTATGTTGCTCTGATGGACCGAAATACAGCATCCATCATCAGTCTTTTCCCTCACATGCATCACAACATCAACCCCCACAGCCTCCTTTGCAGATTTCTTTACAACCTCAAGTAGAGAAGCCTTCTTCTGATTACACAAGAAATGAATCTGCTTCTTTGTGAAAACCATTATTGTCTCTGGAAACTCAAAACCTAGCAACCAAATGTTCAGAGCTGAAGATTTCAGGTAACGCAAATCTTCTGAAGGTGGTGGAGTTGCTACTGCGAGGACATCAGAAGAACCCCACAGCTCAGCTTTGTACTCATTCCAGTGCAAATACAGAGCCTTCAAACGTTTGCTGCAGCTCTCCAGATTAGTACAGTACATACTTCCTGACCCAGAAGCTGTCCCATTTGGAGGCTGGCCATTTGTATTCCTATGATCAGTCATTGAGAAACTATGCTGCATGATAACCAAATGATCAAAATTAGCAAATTAAACTTAAATCCAAAAAGGAGGGAAATATCTAAGTAGGAGTTCAACAGAAACTACATAAAAACTAAAAATTAGGGCTCCATTAGCTTTTTAAGGACCCGAAAACACCTCATAAAGTACAAAAAAAAATCAAAATAAACAAGTGAAATACACAAACGTTTCTCATTATGAATAAACATTAAACAAATTCAAAACCCGCATCTTTTTTTCCATTAAGCGAAAGTTTCACAAGTTAATATTAGAGAACATATAAAATTTGTTTTTACACGCCTAAAATACCAAGTGAAAACTGTAGTCGAATGAAACTCAAACTCAAAGTTTCAAAAGGTGGAAAATACTTGATAAATCACTAAAAAGCAAAAAAAAAAAGAGAAAAGAATGAGAGAAACTCACAGTTCCAGTTCTGCTAACACTAAGCTTCAATCTCGATACGAAAGAATCATAAAGTTCTAAAAGCGAACTAGGCTTCTTTTACCCAGCGGCGGCCTCAGAGTGAAACTAGGGTTAGGGTTTAGAAGAGAGAAGTCGAAGTAAACAGAGTTTAGAGTTCGAGTGTTAGATAACTAAAAGTATAATGCAAGGCAAACGAGACAAAGACTGAGTGGCGAAGAAAAAAGAGAAGCAAATTAAAGGAAAATGTTGGTGGAAATCGTAAAGGGAAGATTTAAGGATAGACAAAAATCAGAAAAGAGGATGGGGAAGTAAAAAGAGAGGGAAAACCCAAGGTAAAAGACAGGGAGAGAAGAAAAGGGAGGGAGTTTTATTATTTTAGATTTTAGCGTAAACTATACTAATGGTCACTGAAGTTTTAGAATACTCATATTTTGGTCATCAAACTTTTGAAAATAACACTAAAGTGGGTACAATCTTTCAAAATAATTGGAATACCCCTTGAGCTTCAAGCATGAATGAAAACGACTACGTTCGAAACTAAAATTAACAAGATGGTCCCGGCGGGGCTCGAACCCGCGACCTTCGGCTCATAAGACCAACGCTCTAACCAACTGAGCTACGGGACCAATTTGTGATTTGTTCATTTTATAATATATATAAATTAATATAAATATTATTCATGTGTTCTCGAAAAGTAACTGAATCACTCTGTACTGATTAATCATAAATTTCAATATTTTGTGAATTTCAGGGTATTAAAATGAAACTCACCAGAATTGGATTCTGAATTTTCTAAGTAAACCAGGAAAAAGGTTTCCACAGTCCTGGATCCAACGGTGATCCTATAGGGCCACTTGATGTTCTTGTATCACACAGGTTATCTGATAAATAGTATAAAGATTTTAAGAACTCACCATGACTTGTTACCATCTGATCGAACTCTTATAAGCTTATGTGCTAGACGCATAAAAATAGTATGGGAGAATCAATGAAAGGCATGGTAAAGCATGAGCCTCAAACTCTGCTACAGCAATGATTAAGGTGGGATACATTAAGTCTTCAATAGGTACGCAAAAGCTTGGAAAATTAGATTTTGAGCATTAGAGTAATCGATGATTAAGATACAACTGGTTTTTATCTTTCTAAGATTGTGATTGGTGATGAACATATAAGACTATTGCATTTGAGGCACTAATGAATCATTCAGCTTTGTAAAAATCAAAACAAATCACTACCGAGTAATTGAATTAACTCATACAAAGCAGATTTCTTGTAAATTTGTGCAAAATCAGCTCCAAGTTCAGCCTCCACAAATGGACCAAAGTAGATTAAACTCCCTCCATTTTTCAGAAGAATCAACTGAATGCTAAATAGAGAGAAAGTTCCTTAGTTTATGATAGATCATATTAACATAACAGGTTTTACCTAATCAAATGCTTCAAATATATCGATGCTTGGTTGATGGATTGTGCAAGTAATTGTTTGACCTGTATCAGCAACGTTCTTCACTTGCACGTTTGAAATGGATGCTGATCTTGCATCCAATCCATTAAAAACACAAAAGGATTAGCAACAAGCTCAACTGCTATTGTAAGTCGCTTTCGTTGTGCAGTCGATAAACCAGAAAGACCAGGTATCCCAACTAAGGCATCCTTGACTTCATTGATTTCCATAATCTCAAGAACTTGTTCAACAAATTCCTACAGAATCAACAAAAGCAACTTTATCACAATAGGACTTAAATTTTGGTTTATATGAAAACATTAACTCTTATATTTGAGTCTTGCAGCTTTAGTTTTAGAGTCAATATGAGAACCCAAGCTCAACGAAGCCGAAAAAATTAAAGATTCTCGTACAGTGATTTGTGGAGAATGTACTTCATTTTGTTGAAAATAACCAGATATCCTAGCTAATGTTTCTTGAAGTTTTGGGCATCTACCAACTTTAATCTCTCCTTGTATGCAGCCTATATAGTTTTCGTCCTTGCAAGAAGATTAGTTTTTCCTGCTCCACTAGTACCCATCAATGCTGTTAGAACACCAGGCAGTAATGCTCGTGTAACAATTGAAATGAGTTGCAGCTTTCACTGAATGTATCCTTCTTTTTCATCCTTTCCTAAGCCAAGAAGAAACAGTGCCTCAACATTCATGGTTCATGAAAAGTGATTTTATGCCAAAGAAGAAAGTTTTTGTCGATATGGAATTGCACATCCTGACAGGTTAATGTTATAGGTTCAAAGGTACTACCATCAAAACAATTTCGACTTAATTGGTCCCGGTGGGGCTCAAACCCGCAACTTTCAACTGAGCTACGGGGAGGTTATCATATTTTTATGTAATAACAATTATAATTATTGTTCATGTGTGCTTGTCCAAAAAGTAGCTGGTTTTCTCCGCACTGATTAATCATAATTTTCAATATTTTGTGTGCTTCAGGGTGGTAAAATGAAACTCACCAAAATTGGATTCTGAAATTTCTAAGCAAACAAGGAAAAGGTTTCCCCAGTCCTGGTTCCAACGGTGATCCTATAGGGCCATTTGATGTTCTTGTAACACACAGGTTAGCTGATAAATAGTATAAAGATTTGAAGAACCCACACCATGGCTTACTAACATCTGATCAGACTCTTCTGAGCTTATGTGCTAGACGCATAAAAAATAGCAAGGGAGAATCAATGCAAGGCATGGTAAAGAATGGGCCTCAAATTCTGCTACAGAAATGATTAAGGTGGGATACATTAAGTCTTCAATAGGAATGCAGAAGCTTGGAAAATTAGATTTTGAGCATTAGAGTAATCAGCTGTCCGTTGAACGGAGCAGCCAAATGGATTCAGATACTAACTGATGGCCCTTAGCTTATGGAAAAATGACATTGTCAATTAGTTCTGGTTGCAACTTCATAATAAGATCATTGCTTGAATGCACTAATGATAACCTATACAATGAGCATTTGTCAGTTTTGATCCAAAATCTCATTATTTTGTTCCACAAAAGGACTTCACCAGTATAGATTTTATCAAGTGAGCTTGCAGGTTACAAACTCCCTCAATCCCAACACAGATTAAGATTGAAGTAGGCACCCACCGACCCGGTTTTGTACGGACACTATCCGTTGTAGTATCACCTTTGTGTTTTTTTTAACCGAAATGACTATCCGGTTAACTATTGCCTAACCGGAACATGAAGGTTCTAGTTTCGGGTTTCAAATCTATTACTACTATGTAATATTAGTCCATCTGCAGCATGATCCATGTCTCAGTTTAGTTGTTTGTTTTCCACTTTGCTCATTATATATAATGTTTAATGGTTTGTTCAAACTTTCGTCCCAACACCTCTCTCTTCATCTCTAAAGATAAGAACATGAACAATGATGTTCTAAAACGAGCTTTATTCTGAAACATAGTCAATAGAAGAGAAATAATCATATGGAACACTCTGTAATAGTATTAGCTTAACAGTTTAGGAATCAGAAAGCCAGAGAAAAGATTAAGAAGCCGATGGAAGGAAGATGATAAAGCTGCAGCTATTGTGATTTCTGGTGTCAATGACACAAACAACATTCCGCAAAAGGTTAAGTAGAGCTGTGTGGTAAAAATGGCATAGAAGTACCATAAAACCTTATATGCTGATCCATAAAAGCCAATCATGAGATATGTGATCATCTCAAACACCAGAGCTTGGATAAACAGATAGGGTACCTCAATTGTCACCTGAAAAATGTTCTAGAGCGCTCCTTGTTTACCATAAGTTTATCGAGAACCCGGAAAACTAGAAACTTAACTCGAAAAGAAAGAAAATAAAAAGTTCGTTTTAATTTATGATGCGTAAGAGAACGTACCTGTGCTAGTGCATAAGCCCAAGAAGAGTAAATCCCTGCAAATCTTTCTCGATATATAACAACCCTCTGTGGCAACAAATGGTTGTACAGATAAGCTGCTATTCATCCCCAGAAAGACCACAGCAGAAAACATTGAACCGAAAATATTGAACACATTTTGCTGGTTGTTTCTGCGGATTTAAAGGAAAAAAAGAAAGATGATGTTAATTATCATCAAATTTACCCTATGTGTGTATATATGTATGTATGACTTCTTATGAAATGATGATTCCTATGCCGTTTTTCGCCTTTCTTACATTTTCTGTCCTTGGTTCCAAAATACTAAGCCCAAAGCCAAAGATATTATTACAGTTAGCAAGAGACGTGTCAAATTATATGAAGGACTTCTCCAATAGGAAAAATGTAGTTTCCATAGGCAAGATTTAAACTGGACCCAGCTGCTTTGTGAAAATTGGGTTGGAAAATGAAGATCTCTTGAACCACGAGGTGGATCACTCAACTGCCTTACAAGCTCGTTGTTCCTACAGGCAAAAAGAGACAAAAAAAGGTGATTCAGGCAGTTCGTAATGGTAATTATCTATCTCTGTAGACACTTAAGGAATCATCATTCTAAGATGCAAGTATAGACCATAGAGTTAATCAAATAATAACAGTAGCCACAGTGCATTTGTCGGTTGCCACACAAAATTTGAAACTTAAGCACTGGTATTACATACAGTATAATGGACTCTCTGCAATTTAGCACTATATTTGACACCTGTGCAACTTCAGTTTAGTTCCTACAGCATAAGAGGCGGTTTAAACAACCGACATGGTCCTTTCCATATTCTTTTGGGACAACTAGTTTAAGTCTTGTTAGGATTTTGATTGGCGGGGAATATAAGAGTATTGCATTTGAGGAACTAATGAATCATTCAGCTTTGTAAAAATCAAAACTAATTACTGCCGAGTAATGGAACTCACTCGTATAAAGCAGATTTCATGTAAATTTCTGCAAAATCAGCTCCTAGTTCAGCCTCCACAGATGGTGAGGTTACCTCCACCATCCATGTTGCTGGGTTACAATTGTTTTTAACCTTGGGCACTCCTGGAATACTCTGTCGGTAAGAATGCAGAGAGTATAACTCCTTCTGTCTTTCTTAAACCTAAAACTTTTAAGAATAACAACCATCCCTTTTAACCACCGAGACAACTTAATTCGTACTATGTGTCAGATTTTTATCACATTCGATTATTTTTAAGAAGTTATGATAGTAATTATGATTACTGCATTTTATAATTTGTATAAAGAATTATATTAAAAATAATAGAAACGAGAAAAAGATATTTTAATTGCCATTTAAATCTATTTATCTGTCTTATCTATTTTGTTTTACGTTCCATTCACTCAACTCTATAATTAGGATTGGATCAAGAGATGATGAAATAATTATATCTTTGAAAATTTTAAATCCGTTTTTTTATTTTCTATCAACAAGTTGTTTTTGTATCCTTAAATTTCCGATATAATTAGGACTATTTATGCACTTGATAAACCATAAAAGAAAACCATCGAAAAGTAGGAGAACTAGAACAGAAAAATGGAATCCAACATACTTGAGCTCTATTTAATACTAGGCTAATATTTCATAAGAATATGAAGGCATCTGAAAACACGTGCAAATATAACGTTCACATTGATGGTATCGATATTCAAACGTTTACATAAATATTAGTACTGAGCCTATAGATATTGATATTTACCCTGAATATCGATATCAATCTAAGTTTTGAAATACATTTTAATTCCCAAGGTATGGATGACACGATATGTTTATGTTTATGGCAACATTCTCATACTCTTGGGATAGACATTCACCTTCGCTCAAAACTTAAACGTGCAACGAAAAATGCAAAAAGGGTTGCAAAGATTGGGGGAAACGAAATCAGAACGATAGCTGTAACATGTAAGCGGGCATGGCGAAAACCGAAATAGTTTTCTAGCAAAGAGGCCACTGTCATGGCTTCGCCGAATACCATAACCTCATCGCTTACATCTCCATATTGTGAAGTGAGCAAACAATCCAATGTCCATGATATAGGCATTAGATAATACATCCAGGTCCACCACTTGGGATTTTCTGCAGATGAACAAGAAGATAACCAAGTAAATACCATCTCATAGTAATAGTAAGAATTATGTTTCAATATACCATTTCTTTTTTTTCTTCTTCATGTTGTTTTCATCTATCATATGGACCAAAAATGGGAATCAGATTCCGACCGACTAAATTATCTTTATTAACAGATTACCGGTCGAGGAATTAGAAAGCCGGAGAAAAGACTCGGTAGTGGATGGAAGGCAGACAATAAAGCTCCGGCGATTGTGACTTCGGGTGTCAATGACACAAACAACATCCCGAAGAAGGTGAAGTAGAGCTGCGTGCAAAATACGGCATAGAAGTACCACAAAACCTTATATACTGATCCATGATAACCAATCATGGGATATGTGATCATCTCAAACACCATAGCTTGGATAAATAGATAGGGTACCTCAATTGTCACCTGCAAAATGTTTTAGCCCTCCTTGTTTACTATAAGATTTGTCTAGAATCCGGAAAACTAGCAACTTAACTCAAAAAGAAAGAAAATAAAAAGTTCGTGTAAAACTTATGATGTGAAAGAGAATGTACCTGTGCAAGGGCATAAGCCCAAGAAGAATACATCCCTGCAAATCTTTCTCGATACATAACAACCCTCTCTGTGGCAACAAATGGTTGTAGAGATGAGCTGCTACTCACCCCAGAAATATCACAGCAGCAAACATGGAACCAAAAATATTGAAAAGTTTTGCTGGTTTTTTTCTGGGGATTTAAATAAGAAAACAAGAATGAAGGGTGAAGTTAATTCTCATCTAATTTAATGCAAAGGAAAAGTAATGCTTATATATACATATATATATATATATATGACTTCTAATGAAAATGATGATTCCCGTGCCAGTTTGGGCCCATTCTTACATTTTTTGTCCTTGATTCCAAAATACTAAGCCCATAGTCAAAGATAGTATAACAGTCTGCAAGAGACGTGTTAAGTTATATGAAGGACTTCTCCAATAGGACAAATGAAGTTTCCATAGGCAAAATTTAAATTGCCCCCGGCAGCTTTGTGAAAATTGGGTTGGAAAATTAATCTCTCTTGAACCAGGAGGCGGATCACTCAACTGCCTTACAAGCTCTTTGTTGTTCCTACCAGCAAAAAGAGAGAGAAAAGTAAACCAGCCAGTTTGTATGATAATTAGTTAATTCTATAGACTCTTGAGATAAAGCATCACTAATAATGAATCATAAGAGCTACACTAAATAGTTCCTTTTGGAACATAAGATGCCGTCTTACCAAGAAGAGAACTGCTCTTTGAAGCCTTCTTCCATATACCCGTATTATATATAATATAATGGATTCTTTGCAGTTGAGCACTCTATTTGAAACCTATGCAAATAGTTGATGCTTCAAGTATAATTCCTACAACATAAGAGGTGGTTTAAACAACCAGACATGGTCCTTTCCATATGCTTTTCTGAAAGATACAACCTGTTTGTATCTTTCTAAGACTGTGATTGGGGATGGATATAAGACTATTTGCATTTGAGGCACTAATGAATCATTTAGCTTTCTGAAAATGAAAACTAATTACTACTGAGTAATCGAACTCACTCATATAAAGAAGATTTCTTGTAAATTTGTGCAAAATCAGCTCCAAGTTCAGCCTCCACAAATGGGGAGGTTACCTCTAGCATCCATGTTGCTGGATTACAATTGTCTTTAATCTTGGGCACTCCTGGAATACTCTGTCAGAAAGAATTCAGAGAGTATAGATATGGTGGATCAATAATATCTGCTAGAAGCAACAAATGGAGTTACCAGAGAATATAAAGAATATGAGGGTGGCTGGACACTTGAACTAACCTCAAAATACTCTATAACTTTACAAGAATGTTGACCTAATGGGCCGAAGTAGATTAAACTCCCACCATGTTTCAGAAGAATCAACTGCGATGAAAGCAACAGAGATATAGATTACGTTATGATAGATATCTTCACAATAGCAATTGTATCTATATATAATGAATGATAAGACAGAAAATTAGCACAACTGGTTTTACCTCATCAAATGCTCAAATAAATCAATGCTTGGTTGGTGGATTGTGCAAATAATTGTTCGACCTGTATCAGCTACATTCTTAACTGCACGCACGACGATGGCTGCTGATCTCGCATCCAAGCTAGATGTAGGTTCATCCATGAAAAGTATAGAGGGATTAGCAACAAGCTCTACTGCTATTGTAAGTCGCTTACGTTGAGCGGTTGATAAACCAGAGAGCCCGGGAACCCAACTAAGGCATCCTTGACTTCATTGAGTTCCATAATCTCAAGGACTTCTTCAACAAATTCCTACAAAACCAGAAAAAGCAACTTCATCACAACTTGAATAAGATTTCGGTTTACATGAAAACATCAGCTTTTCTATTTGATAGTCTTACAGCTTTAGCTTTTGAGTCGATATGAGAAGCCAGGCGCAACGAAGCAGAAAAAAATAAAGATTCAATTACGGTGATTTGTGGAGAATGAATGTCATTTTGTTCACAATAACCAGATATCCTAGCAAATGTTTCTTGAATTTTAGGGTATCCACCAACTTTAATCTCTCCTTGTATGCAGCCTATAGTTTTTCTCCCTGCAAGGACATCAAGAAGGGTGGTTTTTCCTGCTCCACTAGTACCCATCAATGCTGTTAGAATACCAGGCCTTAGTTCTCCTGTAGCATTTGAAAGGAGTTGCAGCTTTCTTTGAGAGTATCCCTTTTTTCTCATTCTCTAGAGCCAAGAAGAACTGCATCAACATTCTGTGGTTCATGAAAAACTATTTTATGCCAAAGAAGAATATTTTTTTATTACCGAAGGGGTGTCAATATAGTATTGCACATCCTGAAAGGTTAGTGCTAAAGGTTCAAAAGGAAATACGATCCTGCCTGTGATGCAGACAAAGCAACCTTAAATATGATAATAATGAGAACGAAAGAACAATTTATGATGAAAAGCTAGGAAGAATCGTTACTAGCTGGTTTCTTACCACCGGAATTCAAATGGCTTGACCTATTCTCCACATCTTCACTCCAGTTGGAATCTGCTGTCCGTATCTTGGAAAGCTTTTCACGTGAAATGATAGCAAGAGACCATCCGGGGGCTGCATATGTTTCAAATGTCAATGGTAAATAACCCTTCACTTCTCCTCTTCTTTAGTTAATCATGAGAAACTAAGGACTAAAACCAAAAGCTTACGCTTTAAGAAACCTAAGGCCAAGGTGAATCCTATGTTATAAACTATAGCAAAACCAAACAATGCAGCTATTGCTATCCAGAAAAAATGTTCATCGAAATTTAGTCCACGACTCTCTAGTGTTGCTTGTCCTATTGTAGTGTGCAAGGTCAACATCTGCAAAAAAAAAAACAGAAAAAACAATTGAATATAGAATACGCTTTCTTCATTGCTGTGAACCCATCGTGTCAGTAAAACAACCAGTTTCATCATTAACATCTCTTTGAGCTCCAAGGCTGCTTTAAATGATCAACAATGGAAATAGCATGTCGCCTACAACTCGCTACATTATATTAATTAGACTAGAGGGAACTTTGCAGCAATATCTTCTTTGGGATGAAAGAGGCACAATAATCAGATTAGAGAAAGAAAATCTCGTTAGTCCATTTGCTCTATTGCATTTACTGATCTTTAACCATAATCCCTTGGACTCATTCAGTCTGATGTGCTTAATGCTTGTTAGATGTATTTCCAGCAACAGATCTGTGAGATTTATAGCTACTTTTGACAAATTTTGGAATAATAATTTCAGTTGTGGTTTCTTCAATGTTTACGGTCCAGCAGTGGAGGAGGAGAAATCTAGTTTTTTTGAAGAAATAAGCAGTTATCTTAGTGGTCAGAATTATCCCGTTTGCGTGGGAGGGGATTTCAATGTCTATCTACAAGAAGATGAGAAGATGGGTAGAGGTCAAAATAGGAGTTTAATGGAGATATTTAATGAGTT